CGACAGAGAAGACCTTGTTGACGACTTGAATGATTGGGCTGTCAAGGGCTGGGGTTGGTCAGAGCCCCCCGCCGTCTCACATAGCTGGGCGAAGAACCAAGGCCTCCTGAGATCTGGATTGAATATCCAGGATGGCCACAGTGAGCGAATGCATCGGGACGACAGGCGAGGTGACCAACGGGGCGACCGTCGCAGTGGAGGTCGTTTCGAGCGCCGTGGACCTCCTGATCCATTCGCCGAGATGGGACAACGTGCGCGCCGTGATGCGCCGCCATCGTTCTCGAGGGGCGGTAGAGGCGGTCGGGGTGGCGGAGGCAGCCGAGGTGGGCGAGGTGACCGACGTGGCGGAGGCTTTGAGTCTTCGTGGTAAGATTCGTTTTCTTCAACACGATCCTTAGGGAGACGGCAAAGGCTGTATTCACAAAAAGCAGCGAAAACTCTCACTATTCTACGCTTTTTTGATACCTTTGTATCTGTTCAGGGTGAGATGCTCTGCTGGATAAGGCGTGGTATTTTACGGCTACATGTTTCAAAACTCAATCCACATAGACGGCTTGTACATTATCGTTTTTTTCTACGGTGTTACTGGGTTCTACAGTTTGGAAGACGCGGGACGGGGTCAAAAAAAAAGGGACAATCTCCTCGATTTCTTTGTAACAAAACATCATGACGCATGTAATGATATATATTGGTTTACTCTATAGTATAGTCATGACTTGTATTTTCACACATGAAACACAATCAATTCTCATAATCGTAATGATATATGAAGACGCATTTCACTGGTGGAAGTTGGTAACCCCGAATTGTGAAACTAGTCGACTTTTCCCAACCACGATGGCACCATTACATGACGCTCTATTTTCAAGGATATCACTACTAATTTCCCCCAAGGTGGCTCTTTCGGTAGATATACACATATATATGCCCCTGGTATAAAAAAAAACAAAAACCTGCGTGCTTTCTTGTATTCCTTTCTCTTTTGTGATTAATGTAAATCTCGCTCCTCCCTTTTCTCACCGCGGGTGCATCAAAAGGTTCGCATCCCACAGCAGAACCCTCTCATCCCAACCAGCAGAAGCCACCCAGCCGCCAGCGCCAAACAGACACCAGTCAACACCCGTGACGAACTCGGTGTGCCTGTTCATGATGCCCATTTGCGCGCCGGGCTGGGCCGTAGGGACCGGCCCCTGGGGCTGGTTCGAGGCGTCGTTCCACAGCCGCACGGTCATGTCGTAGCTGGCGCTGATCAAGACATCGCTCGCGTGGGGGCTCCACGACAGCCTCCGCACGGCGTATTCGTGACCATGCATGACAGAGAGGGGCCCGCCGTTGGGATTGCGGATGTCAAAGGTTCGGATCAGCCGGTCGACTCCGCCAGTGGCGATGACGGTATCTCGGTACTTGTTCCAGTCGTGCGTGAGGATTTCGGAGGGCGGGCCACCGGCAGGCATGGCGCCGGGATGGCTTGGTGGTGCATGGACGGGAACGGTCGCGGCGAGGTGGTATTTGGCGGAAGAGGGCATTCGCAGGTCGAATATTCGGAGGTGAGAGTCGGAAGAGGCCGCTGAGATTAGGGAGGGGTTGGAAGGACAGAATGAGGCGCTGTAGGTGCAACTGCCAATGGGCAGAGTCTTTATGGAGAAGGGACGGGTAGGCGACCACTAGAAGAGGCCATGGGTTGTAAGTATGAAGAAGAGGAAGGGAGCGTATCAACTATCAAGAACGTACAATCTTGACGGTCCCGTCCCATGAGCTGGAGATGAAGGTATCTTTGGTGATTGGGTTCCAAGCAGCGGCGAAAGCTTCGCGGTTGTGCTCGTGGAAGATCATGATGGGAAACTCCTTCATGCCAATGTCAAAGAGCTTGAGCGATCCGTCGCCGCAAGCAACCACGAGCTGGTTCTCGTTGATCTCGGACCAGGCAAGGTCGTATATCGCATCGTTTGTATCGAATCTGCCGGCGCAAGTATGCAAGCCCACTGTGTCAGCCTCAAGTCAACTCTCGACATGTACATGTTCCATTTTGAAGAGAGCCGGGCTTCCATATATAGGTATATATAAACACACGTTTTCTCAACTTGGATGCCCTGCGCCGTCAGCGCCAGGGCAAAGAGCCTGCCGTTTCCGACGATGCCAAAGTTGGCGGCCGTTCCGACGGCGATGCGGGAGTCGTGATACGGCGAGTATTTGACCGCATAGGGATTGAACCCTTGGGTGCGGAACTCGAGCATGGCGGCCATTTTGGTTTCGGCCTTTGTTCTGGTGGAGAGGAGAGGAGAAGAGGAGGGGGGAAGAGGGAAGAGCGCCTCAACGGCGCATCTGAGCTCAAGAGCTGGCCTAGAGACGGAAATGAGACAATATGCCGGGATTGAGGTTATCGCGGTATGGCCAATGGAGGAAAGACGGAAGCTCTCAGCTCTTGTTTGGGTTCGGTTTGCATGTCGAGGTCCGCTTAATCTGACATGTGCCTCGGCCCTGGGATCTGCCGCCACCTTTTTTCCCCATATTCCTGGAGTACTTTAACATGCTACCCTAGGCCTAAAATAGAAACCAAGGTAAGTTGAGTGAGTGATGTTTGCGAGACAACAGATCTCGAGGGACTGACGGCTTCCTTGTAAAGACTTACATGTCGAATGCATCGGTATCTGGCCTAAAGTCTCACGTGTGGCTCGATAGAAGCACATGATATATCAAGAATCCATGCATCTCGTCTATTGGTGAAGATCGCCAAACGGTTTCCTAGTCCTTTGTATGTACCGATCTCTTCACCAGACATGTCAATCGGCTGAGCATTCGGATGATGTTCGAGCAGCCTCAACTCTCCTCCTCCTTACATAATAGACGAGGGATCATTTTTTTCAGCATGTCATTATCATGAATCAATGCATTCAAATCGACATATCGAGGCTCTCTAATCTTTTTGCCACTTTTGGACAAGGTGGATCACGTGGGTTCGTGTTGCTTTCGATGTCACGCCTCACGCCTGCCGTTAATTGTCGTGGACTGACGGCGCATGATTTCCCCCATTACACTTACTTTGTCCATCTTTTCATGAAAACTTGAACCGTTATATAAATCCGAAGTTTCTCGCCGTTATTTGGTTATTTTTTCTCTTTCATATTTTCTCTACACATCTGTTGCCTTTAAGCATCTTCATGGAAGCCTTTCTCACGCGTCCAAAGCGAAAATCAACCCATGTTCATAACGCTACACCAGAACCGGAAGCAACCTTGCAAGATGTGGAAGCTGACGAAGAGTCGACCGAGATCAAGCTCGCCATGCTATCCTCATTACACCCTCTAATTGAACAGGAAACTCTTCTAGATGTCCTCCTCGCTCACAGTGGTTCCGTCAGCCAAGCATCAGAATCTCTCAAGTCCTTTCGTCCAGGAGCAAGGAAGAACGCCGTCATAGGACACCAGCAGTCCCTAAGGCAATATGCAAAACCTAGCGATGGATCATTATCGCCGCCCAAGAAAAAGACAAAGTCTAAAAAGGGAAGCACCCTGCATCTATACGACCCGGAAGATGTTGCAGAGCACACTCCGTGTACTATTATACACAATTTTCTCCCTAGTGAGCTCGCCGATGACCTCCTGAGAGAGCTGTTAGACGAAGCCAAATCGTTTGAGCAAATCACCTTTAAGCTATTCGAGACTATTGTGGCCAGCCCGCACACTTCATGCTTGTTTCTCGAGTCGTTTGAAAAGATCCAAGAGCAAAAGCATGATTACTTTTATAATGGAGGCATGCTGAACGTGAGTTTTTATTCTCTGTGGAACTAGCCAGTTTGACTCCCTTGTACCTATGCTCGTCAAAATCGGCACACAGCTGATGGTTCTTGTTGGTATCGTAGGATGTACGCAAACTCACGCCGGCTCTCGCCCAAGTGAAGCCAATCGTGCAAGAGACAGTCAATGAGCAAATCCAAACGCGCATCAAGACTCGATACCCTGGAGGCAAAAAACTGAGACATCAACCATCTAAACCATGGGTGCCAAACGCTGCCTTTGTGAATTGCTACGCTGGAGCCCAACAGAACGTAGGGTGGCATAGCGACCATCTTACGTACTTGGGCCCCCGAGCTGTTATCGGATCAATCTCCTTGGGCGTTGCAAGGGAGTTTCGTGTGCGCAAAATTTTACCACGAGATGCCGAAACGAACCGTCCAGATGATCCAGACGGCGAGGGCCAGATATCAATTCACCTGCCACACAACTCCCTCCTTGTGATGCATGCCGAGATGCAGGAAGAGTGGAAGCATTCTATTTCCCCGGCGCTATCCATCGATCCACATCCTATTGCAGGGAACAAACGAATCAACATCACCTATCGAGACTATCGGGCAGAGATGCACCCTTCACTTACACCAAGATGTCAGTGTAAAGTGCCTTGCGTGCTGCGTGTTGTGCAGCGGAAAAAGGAGAACCATGGGAAATACTTTTGGATGTGCTATGCGAGCGCCATCCCTGATAAAGATGGATGTACATTTTTCCAATGGGCCGAGTTTGATGAAGACGGAATCCCTATACGTAACAACAAGACGACGTCGAAGCCGCCTTGACACAATTAGCCCGAATCCATCTACACACACAGTGAAATGAGGCCCCAGAGACCTCTATCGTGTTCAATTTTGTGCAAAATATGCCAGATGCTCATGACTTCAAGGGGATGTTTTCATCCGCAAACGCATCTCGATCTCTTTCGAGTCTGTTGCTCTCCTTGTTCACGGTCCGCTCTTGTACTGTCTGTATCCGAGCTGCAAGATTGTGTGAAACAGTGGGAACGAACGTGTGAGATTTTAGGCCCCACTGTATGCATACACCAAAACTTGCACCTCTTCAAGTAAGGTAGCTCATCACACTTCCATACAACAACAATCTCTCACTCTGTCCTCCTGCTTCTCCCCTTCCTCTCTCCCTCTTTCTCTATTCTTTTACTGTCCACTACAATCTTTCTCAGCACCCGTCTTCAGTTTCTTCCGCACCGATATCACCATGGCTGAGAAACTCACATTTCCCGCTGAATCGGCGGCCCTCCTCGAACCTCGCCTACCTCCAACGCTGGGCTCTGAGGACACCTCGAGGTCACGTCCCTTTGTCACATTAACCTTTGCAACTTCACTCGATTCCAGCCTGTCACTGGCGCCTGGGGTCCGCACTCGCCTGTCTGGCCCAGGCTCAAAAGCCATGACCCATTATCTAAGGACCCGGCACGCAGCCATTCTTGTGGGAGTGTCTACGGTATTGGCAGACGACCCGGCTCTCAACTGCCGGATTGCAGGAGTTTCTCACCAGCCTCGGCCCATAGTCATTGATGCCAACCTTCGATGGACGCCGCGTCGCTCTGACAAAGTCTTTGAAGTGTGTCGGGGCGGTGCCGGGCTCGCTCCTTTTGTCCTCACCGGCATAGACGCCTCAAAGCTGCCGTCCGAGAGTGTTGAGCTGCTCCATGAGCATGGAGGCAAATACATCCATGTGCCCACTACACGCGCAGAAGCAACTGGCCGGCTACGATTCAGCTGGGACGACATTCTCGCCGCTCTGCAAGCGGAAAATGTGGCCAGCGTCATGGTCGAGGGCGGCGGCCAGATTATCAATTCGCTCCTCGACCCTGCTTACCACAACCTCATCGACTCGGTAATTGTGACGATTGCCCCAACGTGGCTGGGCCAAGGCGGCGTGGTCGTGTCTCCAGGCCGGGTCACCGACTCGGCGGGCGTTCCTTTCCCGGTTGCGAGGCTGTCGCATGTATCATGGCACCCATTCGGCGAAGACGTTGTGCTGTGCGGCACGCTCCGGGAGTAGACAAGAACAGCCTATGAGGAGGGTTACACTTTGTTTGCATGCTGTTTCACACGACTGCTGCTGTTCAGTACACACTCGATCACCGGATCGTGCCATCTACCAAAAGAAGGAATGTATCTAAAACGTAACACAAACCCCCGAGCTCGGCTCTCTCCGGGCCAGCTTCCCCCGGCTCCGCACTCGGACCCGGCCGTCCCAGAAAAAGAGAAAAAGAAGAACAAAATCACGAGTAATAGCGTGTGCCGCCAACAGCGGATTGTGACCGCTGGGCTTGCTTACGTGGGCGAAGTTTTCCCCCAGAGACCAGAGAATACCCAGTAGCCTATATTGCCTATTCCAGACGATGTAATGCTACTAATGCCTCCAATAACTCTTAGCAGACGGAAACTAGGGGGTCGTCAGAAGCTGCATGACTCGGCACCGGCCGAAGCAGTTGTAGAAACTGGGGCAATTCCTGGAGGGGTGTGGAGGGGCAAAGCTTCTGAATTATCTGCATGGCGGCACCCCGCCATTTCACCAAGCCAAAAACATTCAATTCGTTGCTCGCCAGTATCAAACAAAAGAGGACCATCGCGGGGGTCCCGTCGTCCACAGCGTCTGTTATTTTTCTTGGATTCATCAGGGTCAACGAACGACTGGCCATTGAAAGCCTCCCTCATCTCATCGCATCACCACCAAAGCTTCCACCCTCTCTCCAGCAGCAGCACAGCAGCCATGGCTCGCCCTCGGATCACCGTCCTCGGCTCCCTCAACATCGACCTCGTCTCCTACGTCCCCCATCACCCTCTCCCCGGCGAGACCCTCACCGCCAACCACTTCGCCACGTCGCCCGGCGGCAAGGGCGCCAACCAGGCCGTCGCCTGCGGCAAGCTCTCCCGCTCCTCCGACCTCTCCGCCCCGGCCGCCGACGTGTCCATGATCGGCGCCGTGGGCTCCGACACGTACGGCCAGCAGCTCATCTCCAGCCTCACCTCGTACGGCGTCGACACCTCGGCCGTCGCCGTCCGCCAAGACGGCAAGACGGGCATCGCCATCATCGTCGTCGACGAGCCCTCCGGCCAGAACCGCATCATCCTCTCCGCCGAGGCCAACCACTCCCTCCTGCCGGAGCACTTCGCAACGCTCCCCGGCCCTCGCCCGGACCTGCTCATCATGCAGCTCGAGATCCCCTTTGACACCGTCCTGAAAGCCCTCCGCACCGCCAACGACTCCGGCATCCCCGTCCTTCTCAACCCGGCGCCCGCAAAGACGCTCCCCGACGAGGCCTACCACAACCTCGCCCATCTCGTCGTCAACGAGACCGAGGCCGCCATCCTCTCTGGCTGCCAAGAGTCGGACCTCGACGACCTTGCCGGCCTCGAGCGAGTCGGAGCCCTCTTCATCCAGCGAGGCGTCAGCAACGTCATCATCACCCTCGGCGGCCGAGGCGTCTACTACGCCACCAAGAATGGCAAATCGGCCTTGGTGCCCGCCATCAAGGCCGACGTCGTGGACACCACTGCCGCGGGCGATACTTTTGTTGGATCATATGCCTTGGCCGTCGTGAGCGCCGCATCGGGCGACTTCGACATTGACACTGCAATCAGAGCGGCCAACAAGGCTGCGGCCATTACCGTGTCTCGCAAGGGAGCCCAAGTCTCTATTCCATGGAAGGATGAGCTGAACTAAGTCCAGCCATGTAAGAAAGCTTAGAGAAAAGAGATTATACATACAAAGAAGAAAGAAAGAAAAAACGACTAAAAGCTTGTACAATAAACAGAAACCCTAATGTCCTTTCCATAACCATTTAATACATGTTACTAGACGTAAACCGCACCGTTCCTCGATTGGTAGTCAACAAACATTTCGTCTGAAAAGGGACCAACGAGATGCTAAAACCATGTTGCCCAAGTCCAAAGACTGGCGTTCTTCTTCCCATTGCCTCCTGTAGCTCCGTGTTTCTGGCCCTGGCCCTTGCTGGTTTTGCCATCTTCGCCATCCTCGTTGCATTCGCCATAGAGGTCACTTGCAAGGTTGGACGTCAAGCCCCCAAGAGTATCAGGCCTTGTTGGCCATGTATCACGCAAGGGGGCTCCTTTTCCTTCTTTTCCTCCTATCCATGGCCTCCCCGATCTCGCTCTTTCAGAGATTTCCCCAGCAGATACTCCCCTACTTCCAACCCCCCATTCACGCGACATTCTTTTCACTGGCAAAGGGTGACTTGAAGGGCGCGGGTCTACTTTCATCTGCTGCGTCCCCTGGAGGCTGGTTTGTCTTGGAGAAACTGTTGGCGTGTAAGAGTGGTGTAGAGGCTCGCGCGCCAGATTCTGCTCATATCCCCCTGTTAGAGCTTCGTCATGCTCTGGAGTTAGGGCAGAGCGTTGAGCCAGCATTTGCTGCATCGCCTCGGATGCTTTTTGGGGACCCCAGTGACGTTTAATCAGTGGCAACAACCGATTTTTGACCGGTATTGGATGGGGGGACCATGGAGAGAGAGCACTGTGTAGTTTTATGGCTGCTTCCGCAGTCGTGCTGAGTTTAGTATGGAACCAAGATGTTTCAGCTGCCCCTACCGAAGCCGACTTGGAAGGGAATGCAGAGTGTGAATAAGACACACGTATACTCATATAAGTCATCAGAGAATCTCCAAGTTGCAGCTCGAGATCTTCCATCAGTTCGTCCGATCTTTGCCTGATATGCTTGTGCTGTTTCGATGTAGAGGACAATGAAGACGAAGACACTATCCCTAACTGGCACACTGCATGTACGAGAAGAAGTACACTCGATCCCGCAAACATGGTGCTGTTTATGGCATCACTTGTGTCAATTTACCTCAAGATTCAACGCTTGGATGTATCATATAAACTTACACTGGAAACTGCTGCTGACACGTGGTTTGAAGCAGAGCTGACTTTGACGTGGGTAGTATGTCTACTGTGAGATCATAGAGATGGCCGAACCTCAAGCGAGTGTCTATGTCAATTGATTAGAGCCTTTCATAGCGAAGACGTACGCTTCGGCATCATAGTTTAATAACGGGAATGTAAAAGGTAAAACACTAACCTTGATCTAAATACGGTGTGGTCTGAGATTCAATTTCAGGCTCGTTGCTGGCCGTGAAAAGTCTGCCGCTTACCTCGACCGCGACCCAGAGATGCTGTTGGCCTTTGGATACTCCCACCGTTTCCGATACCACGTGGATACCCGGAGACAATACAAGACCAGGTTTCTCCAGTAACGAAGAGTCTGATAGTAAAGATGAGTCCATGGAGCAATAGGCACTCTTCGGATCATAATTTGTACATCTGGAGCTTGTTCGGGAGGAAGAATCAGGCTGCGCACTGCCCTCCTTTAGGGGTATACGCCTCAACAAGGTACCATCTTCATTTGCATTTTCAAAGCTGCTTTTAAGGCTATGGCGCTTTCGCCGAAGAGTCGTAAGTTTTACCGGGTAACGAAAAAACGATGGAGTTCGACGCTTTTTGTCCTGTTCGGTGATGTTGTCGTTGTTATCCTTAATCACCGTACTGTTGCCAAAGCTTGATCTCTGTGAAGATCGACGTAAATCTGTTGCCGTCTCGTTGCTGTACTTCTTTTCGATGATAGTCTTTGGCCGCCGTTTTGGAATCTTCAAAGTCCCATCCGCAGACCACGATAATGCCCCAGGTGGGCTGTTAATCGGGCTAACGTCAAAACATGATGGCGAGCAGCTGTCTTTGGAACTCTTTACGCGGTATCCGTTTCTACCGCGACATCTTTTGATGATTCGGAGTGGGCTCGGTTTATCTTTCACAAGTATTCGATCTTTCGATGTAGAGGGCTGAAAACAAGCCGATGACTTATTCTCCATGCGTTCCATGCTGTTATGCAATACTGGGGCCTGGCGATCGATCTCTCTGTGGACGCGTAGGATGGAATCCCCCATTTGATCCGTACGAATATACTGGCAGGCATGCGGTGGAAACAAAAGCCGCCACGAGAATAACGATGGAAACAACAACGGCGAGAAAGGCAATAGCTGAAGCTGGGTGCTCCCAGATGACCCAAGGGCTGTCGTTGGCAGGACTGATAGCAGTTAATGTAGAATCATTTTGCATGGTGAAAGAAACAATGGAGAGAGTTTAGGAAAATAAAAGTCCAAGGGACCTCCCACCCGAAGAAGTTGGACGAGTGCGCACCGGGCAATTGACATGTTGGAGAGGAAGGTGCTGAGTATAGGTTCATTCTGGAGGAAGAAGAAACTTTAGATATGACTCATGAGCAACAATAATACGATGGAAGAAAGCGAAGAAAAAAATAAGCAGCAAGAGCAAAGACCTTTGTGGCTACGTTTTGCAGAATAACGTGGTATCGATAGATGCAGTCCAACAGTTGGTAAGTATATACAGGTACCTAGAGGTATTATGACATTACTATAAAAGCAGGGGCAAATATACTATTCATGGGAAGATTCAAGCAACAAATACATGCGCGGGCTCGAAAACAATACACGCAATCTCTTGATATCAACTAATTATGTTGGGCCAGCCCTTTGCTCAAAGTTCAGATGCCATGTTGCGAATCATTAAAGCCTGTACGGAATATGGGATGTTGGAAGACAGTGACAAAAAAGTGTATGGCTATTTGCAATGTGTGCCGGGATAGAAAATTGCGATGATGGGAAAAGACGTCACGAAGGCAATGTCATACCGAGGCATCCAATGTTCGACGAAGATTACCCTTGACAGCTTCAATGGTTCCCTCCTCCAGCGCCAAGAAATGAATCTGGATCAAGTTCACGGTTAGCGAGAAACACTACACAAGAGACGTGAGTTATGATGACAACAATTGCACAACATACCATATCGTCGGAGATTCCTGATGCGCCGTACAACACTGACTCGGTCAAGGTGGATGCCACGCCCTTCTTGACTCTGTCCTCCCAGACACCATCCCAATTCCACTCCCCGGGCTCCCTGGCCATGGTGGACTGAGAGGCTATGCTTCTTACGTCAAACGCTATGGCATCGCCCTGCTCGCTAGCATTGTCCTTTGGCTGTAGATCACTCAAGATGCTCAGCCTGCTCAGCCTGTTGCTCTTGATATTCTCGGCAAGCGCCTTTCTTTGTTTGCGCCTATGTGTGCGCCACGCATGCCAGGCCCCGGGGTTTCCAGCCGCAGCAAGAGGTACTGTATCAAGAACCTCAGCCTTATCAAAAGCGCTCCGGATGTACTTTAACAGGGAATATGTCGATACCGTCTTCTGATCTGTCTGCATATACCGCGGCACGTCGTCCTTGGGGGGGACCAACGGTGGCTTGTCGCTCGAAGACCTTGCTGACTTTATGGACGCTGCCGACGGCGATGGGCCCCTTCGCTCACGACTACCGTGGCGGCTGGAGCCACCAAACCACTCTGGAAAGCCGTGCTCCAAGCTGAAGCCCCCAGGAGGTAACCTTGGTCTCTCGGCAGTGCTCCCATCGGTTTCAGCACTCGTGGGATACATGTGCGTTGTCAGAGGAGTGATGAGAGGGTGGAAGATGTCGGTCGAAAAGGTAACCAGAGGCGGAGCCCGAGGGTAGGCATCGGGAAACAAGATTTGGAATCGAAGAACAGCCGGAGCATAGGGGCCTTTCAACAGAAACAAAGATGAGCCAGAGCGAGCAAGACGGGGGAACGGTATTCGTTAAAACTTACCATGACGAACGAAAAGCACCGCTGACCAAAGCGACGGATCTCCAGGAGTCAAACTAACAAACACCCCTTCGGGACACGCCTGCTTCAAACCGGCGCTGTCGGTGGCTGGTTAGCTTTGACGTCAAAGCGTGTTTACATTGCTTCCTCGGCTTCTTCCGCTTGATTCTCGCACGCGCACTACTCACAATTCCGATAGCAAGTGCTGCCGCCACAGCGAGGGCAGATGCCCCAAGGCGAGAGAAGTCATATCGGCCAGCGAATCTCTCTCTGTTTCTATCGCATAGATGCAATCGGCAAGTGTACTCTTCGCTATCGACACTCGCAACACCGGCCAAGGTGACCAAAGGAGTTGGCATAATCCCGGGCAACCGGGATGCGAAGGCGGTGAAGATGAGCGGTGAGATATTCTGCCGCGCAAACTCAACAGAATGATGCAGCAATTATCGCGGGGCTGAGACGTCACTCGTCGTGGAAATTCGCACCGCGGGGTGACAAAGGTAGGAAGAATTCCAAGTTTTTCAAAAGAACCACTGGCAGACAATAAATGGGTGCACAAGTTGAAGTGTTTGCTTGCAGAATGTAGTCAATTGGGCTTTTTTCTTAGACCTTTTTCCCTTCTTCTTCCTTGTCCGATTAGCTCTTTGTAAACCTATTCTCTATACAAGGCAGTATAACCAATCGGATGAGTGTCGTGAACTTTTCATGGCCGCTCCGCGCATATCAGAACAGTCTCTAGTGCCCCAGCCTCTTCTCGATCTTGCCAACTTCTTGGGCTCTGATATCCTTGATGTCGTCCCGAGAAGCGTTGTACGAAGCAGTAACCTGGTTGAAGGGATTTTCGGGGCTCTTGTCGAATTCCTTTCTGATCCTCTGCTTGCGTTGCTCCAGTCGAAGCCCAGTACCGCTGCCATCCGCCTTCATCTCAGCGAGCCTTCGCTCCTCGTATCGGTGATAGGCGGCGGCGAATCGCCTCTCGGGGTGTTGGTCAATCTTGGAATCATCCCCACCGGTCGTAAGGGACAGAGCATCGAGAGCGTTGTCGATACCCGAGGCACTGAGAGCGCCGAGTTTGTCGTCATCCAGCTGCGACAGGTCCAGACCCCGGGATTTCTTGACTGCGGTCTTGGATTTCTTTGGCTCCGAACGGGCATTCAGGCTAGCCTCCTCCTCCTTCACCAATGCGTCCTTTTCAGCTTTCTTCTGCGCGGCCTCGGCCTTCTTGGCGGCTTCTGCTTCCCTGGAAAGAGCCAATGTCAGCTACCGGCGCAAACCACCAGAGGGCGGTGGGCATCGTAGAAGGGGGAGAGGCACAGGTGTGGATCAATGGCGGAAGGGGGAAACGGGAACGGGAACGGGAACCTGGGACACGTAGCCAGCCGTATGAGGCGAGCGAGCGCAGGCTAGGCATGCGTAGCGATGGCCATGTTATGCGCCATCGTGCCACGTATTCGTACGTACTTTTTCGAGTTATTCTTGGCTCCTTGTTGCCACTTCTCGCCCTCGGCCGCCTCACGCTCGACCTCTGCAGCCGCACTCTTCTTCGCGGCGCTGTCCGCCTTGCGCGCGTTACCCGCGGCCTTTTTGGTGTTGTCTTGGCCCTTCTTGCCCGCCATTATGACGTTTCGCCTGTTGCGCTGGCCGTCCTTGTTCCTGTCGAGGCTCAGGCGGGTCGGGAGTTTCGCAGCTCCTGACCGGCGGCGTTATCGTGGATTCGTCTGGTCTGCGTCTAGCCGTATGAGCCAAAGTTCAAAGCAGGAATATCCAGGAAGGGAAATTAAAGGAAGAGACAGAGGGAGAAGGGGAGGGGGCGTGTGCGTTCGCTGCCGCCTCTCTCAAGGGCTCTTTCGCCGTCTACTGGACCATCTGCCCGTCGAGACTTGCAAGGTATGACTGACCGATGGACAGGTGTGCGCCTGGCTGCAGTTTGTTTGCCGTACAAAGCACGTCTCGACGTCTTCCGCGGCGCCACCTGTGTGGACTAGGCCAAACCAGCTTGCGACGGCGGCGATCTCGCCCGGTGCTTGTCCGGGTGCCTTTTTTTTCCCCTTCTCCTGCTTCCTCGTCCTGGTGTCGGGCGTGTTCCGTCTGTGCCTGCGGTCCCGGCTCTCGCCCTGATGCTCGCCCTAGAGATCGTATGGATGCCTGTCCTGGGAGCTCGACTCTGCGAATTTTGCTATGAAGTGCAGGTCGCAGGTTCACTGTGGGGACGGCGCCTGGCCCAGTAGTGCGATTTGGACGCATCGGCTAAGGCAATCACCCGAGCTGCCCACTTTTGCGGCTTCAGTGTTTCGTTTTGACTTTGTTCTCTGCCATTGACAGTTTCTTCACTCACCTTTCACTGCCTTGTTTCGCCTTGTTTCGCATTGCCTTGCTCTGCCTTGCTCTGCCCTGCCCTGTTCTGCCATGATTCTTGTTTCGCTGTCGTCAAGTCGTCCAGCTGCGGGCGGGGGGGGGGGGGGGGGGGGGGGGGGGGGGGGG